CACAGTGTTCCTGCTCCCTCCTAGGCTTATGTTAATCCTAGCGAATGCTCCCGTATCTTGTGATAGCGCCTATATATGTAGCGATAAATTTATTAAATGAACTCCGTTTTTTCTACTATTCGCTTCGTCTCAACATATTTTCAAAAAGATTTTCAGAACTAAAGGGTGAGGCACTGATTACGGAAGATCTCCGGACAGCAATGGAATCAGCCATGTCGACGTCGTGCCCGGAAATGCTCAAGACTGCTTTGAGCTCCGAGGACATTCGAACGGCGCTCACATATGGCATTTCATCGAGATGTGCAGAACTGATGAATAGAGCCATAAGCGTGGAAGATATTCGTACAGCTCTTGAACATTTCGACATTTCGACAAACCCTCACGAACTACTGAAAACAGCTTTAAGCTCGGAAGATATAAGAACAGCCATGGAATACGGTAGAGTTATTGTTTACACAGAGATCATTTAGGTTTCTTCGTCGAACTTGTCCTTTTTGCTCTACCTCTATACCTAAACACAATCCTTCCTGAACCCATCAAAATTGCGCTGGAAATAAGAAACCGCTGCTCCACACTTAGATTTCTTCGCTCCCAGAATCTAAGCAATGCAAACCCATTTCTCAGGCTTAGCGACCTTGGTTCGACAGTCGCACTTGTTCTCTTGTAAAGTTGGGATGGAACGACGGGGTGTGTCAGTTCAAAGGCTGTGATAACGATGGCTGGATTGTGTTACTGTTTGATGACGTCGGCGATTGCCATTGGTAGAAAGGCGTCAAAAGGCGGACCCAGTCTTGCCCCATGCCTAGGAGTTTAAACTCCACTAATCACGGCCAACAACGTCATCAAAACCACGCCATCCAACAACCACTGTTCACTGCTTTTGAAGAATTCTAAGAGATGAGTGGAAGCCAGTGGAGAGTTTCGGCTACTTTATTTTGAACCCGAGTCTAGCGAACCTCTAGGAGATTTTTCAGCAAAAGCCTGTAACTCTTCCTTACCTGTATCAGACTTCTATGACGTTCTGCTGAAGACTGCACATAACCTGGAGTCGCTCTCTAGCGTAAGTTCACGTTGCTATATTTTCACTATGCTATGAATAACATTAACAGTAGCTTCACAAGAATGCTTAGTTATGGGCAATGCTCTTCGCCCCAGACGGGACTCGAACCCGCACCTCTCGTTTCCGGGACAAGTGTGCTACCAGTTACACTACCGAGGCGCCATTTCACCTCGAAGGCCCGTATCGGATCGAGATGGTGTTTTATTTCTCTCCATTTGGCAAGAATTCGAGGAGGAACGTTCGTGGGAACAAAGCAAAAAGGGCTATAAAAGACACTGAAGTTTCCCTTGTTTGGGTGATTTCCCCCTCCATTTGGACATAATTCGAGGAGAAAACGGTCGTGGGAACAAAGAGCAAAAAGGGCTATAGAAGACACTGAAGTTTTCTTGTTTGGCCATGATATCACGCACTGTGAGGGGAGGGAAAACGCGAGAGAGCACGTCGTACGCAAGAGGGCGCAGACGCCGCGTATGTCGCTATTGATAAGGATGGCGGCACGGCAGCACACAAACCAAGGCCTCTGCGCCATTGTCTTGCACATTTCAATCGCCACAATTTCGCCCCCCCTGTTCTGATGCCCCTCTTTGTCACTAGGAACGACAAATTCTTGCCACTTTCATCCTCTTCCGTGGCTTTGACCGGAAACTGAGATGCTGAATCGGAATTCGTTATGGGGCAAAGGCTTTTTACCCACAATTCGGCGCTTGTTAAACTTTCTCATCACGAACTGCGCCTTATTACAGCAGCTAATAAACAAAACAGGACAAAATCAACAGTGTTCTTTTCAGGAACTCATGAGCTCATGCGAGGATACACAAATCCCTTCGGAAGCAGCATAATGAACAGTGCTGTATTCGCCGTGTCGATCATTTCTCAATGTCCTTTGACTAGCTTTACAGTAATCCCGTAATCCTTTACACGAAAAAAATGAGAAAACTTTCGCAGTCATGGGATTACTGATTAATTTTTGTGAATGAATATTTGTGCGTTAATTGAGTCCATGTGAACTTCAAATTTATAGAAACTCTTCAGAGTGAACCAAAACACCTCCTTTTTAATTCAGCGCAAAAATAATTGGGACGGTATTGTGGGTCACAAATTGAAGCTAACTCTCACTTTTGACTAATGCTAAGGGTAGTGGTGGTCTACGCACCGTATGCGGCTTGATTTGCCCGAAGTGATCAGGGTCAAGCGTGCGTTGAGGAATCCTCGACAGGTCACAGGGGGGGAGGGGGGTCGTATTGTTCCGCTGGCAGGAAGAGGTCGGGGCCAGATTGATGCAGTAGGATCATCGTCGGAGGACAAACATCAAGGATCTAGTCGATGCCAGGCCGGAGTATTTCCAATAACAACTGATTCCGCCCACACAGAATCTTCGTGATTTAGAGGTGTTCGTTTTAAAATTCTTGGTTACTTCAGTGTTTTATCACCACCCAAGTTTAAAAAATCCGATATTCGCACGTTTCGAAGATGGTCGTTTCATGGACTTCGGCCTCTCGGGGGGGGAGAGGGTTCCTATTTCCAAATTTTCCTCGACGGTTCGCTTGAGCCTGATTGTGATTCCCAAGCTCGGTGACCCGCAAATTACGATCTGATAGTTTTGCCTCTTCAAAGGCAGCGATTACGATAGATCTCAAACGAATGGGGAAGTTTAGAGGGGGACGGACGCGAGGGTCTCAATAGTACGCCAATGGGTAAAAAAGCAAAAAAAAATCCGTCAAAAATAAGCAAAATAGTACCCCTTTGATTGCCCTTTCATTTTCGACCATGGATGAGCGACGGTAAAGAACGACGCTGTTCGGACGTGTGACCGATAGCTGCCATCATCGACCATGTTCTTTGATTGATAAAGGAATGGACTGGATGGGCCAAGAAGTTTCGGAAGAGTTACAGACGAAAAGGAAGGACGATCTGCCCCAAGTAATGAAAAGCAACATGAAAACAGGGCTGCCACCGTCAATCATGCTGAACAAGAGGTGGCGGAACGGTGCTGGGCAGGAACGTGAGTCGCTAACGGAGGGGTCGCTGCTCAGCATTACCGGCAGCAGCCTCTGGCGCCGTGTGAAGCGCCACACATTGCTTCCTTGGCAGCCAAGAAATTGCTCCGTGTAGGGCAGATTCTCCCCCGATGCGAAAATTCCTTATCGTAATCGTTTCCTTTAACTGACTTCGAGACATAAAAAAGATCAAATTTTGGCCATTTCAGTAATATGAGATTCTACAAAGAGAAAATCTGTTCAATACCAGTGTATCTAGTAATATAGTAGGTTAGAGCGCTCCAGCTCAGTAGAGGTAGAGAATTGAGCCACGAGACAAGGCGGCTGGTGACGGGGAATCCTAACAGAAATGAGGGCCATCATTGAAACCAGGGGTGATTAACGGTCGATGAATTCCTCGACCATCGCTCTCTGCTGTGCGAGAGTAGAGCCGATAGTGAATGTACGCGCGGAGAGCACAGACGGCTAGCGGGTGGTGAGAGTGAATATCTGCGCGCGAGAACTTAGAGGAACAGGCAAAAATCCTCGAATCGTGACCATTGACAGGATCGTCAGTTCACATGATTAACGTAATGTGTCATGAACCTCGCTTCCCACAGGTGGTGTCTTTCAACGCACTCGCAAATGGCCATTTCGCAACTGCTCTCGATAGTTGATGTGATGTCCCTCATCATTTTAGGCTACTACAGCATGAAGCTACGAACTTCTCAATTAGGACGCGGTCAGTGGTAGCCTGGAAAAAGACGTGTTTAGTGTATTCGCGGTAGGATCGACCTGCTTCAATGAGACGCAGCACGCCGCCTTATCTAACGTCAGTCAGAACGATGGTAGGGGGTAAATAAGGGCGCTGCCGGAATCTCAACAGCAGGGTCAAGCGTGCGTTGAGGAATCCTCGACACGTCGCAGGGGGGGGGGTCGTATTGGCCCGCTGGGTGGAAGAGATCGAGCCATTTTGATGCAGTGGGATCATCACCGTCGGAAGACAAATATCAAGGATGAGTCGATGCCAGGCCAGAGGATTTCCAATGAAAATGATATTTCACCCACACAAAATTTTCGTGATTCTGAGGCGTCCGGTAATTCTTAGTTACTTCAGTGTTTTATCACCACACAAGTTAAAGAATCTGAATTTCGCACGCTTTCCAAGAGATATTTCATCTTTCAAGTAAGACCCCGAATCTGAAGGGATGTGAGGTACACGGCGCATCCGAGAAAGGGTCTAGTTGTTGCGCGCGCTTGAACTACGGCTCCTTGGACAAACAACCTCAATTCAGGAACAATCGAGAGAATTCTGAAATGTGTCCGTGCGCATTTACAGGGAGGTGTACACCATTCAACATTGCGTTAACGGACTCTTCAGGGTTAAATTTATAAACATGTAACCTTTAAAGTTGAGAAACGCTAATCAATCACTTTTCTTAGAAAGAGAAAAGCAATGATTCCAAATCTGCTCTTACTTTAGTACATACGCCCTTAAAAGGATATACAGCCGTTGAAATAGTGCCAATGTAGCGAAAAAGTACCTTTCGGCGGTACTCGTGCGAAAATCCTCAACGTAGCCGTTTTTTTGTTAATACTGGACGTTTGGAGCAGTTATAGTAAGCATTCGATAGAGCAAATCTTCTAGTTTATGATGGCGTATTTACTTTTTGGATTCGGAGTGTATGAGTTTGAACGGAGTTATGGCTTTAGGAAATAAAAAAACCCGCACTCATCACAAATTTTCCTCGTTAATTTTGCAGAAATCCTCAACGTGGCCATTTTTTTAATATTTTTTGAATACTGGACGTATAAAGCTGCTTTAGCAACGGTTTGGTAGAGAAAATCTTCTAGTATTGTATGATTATGGAACGTAGTCAACTTTGATTTGAACGGAATATGAGAGCAAGTTATGGAGCTCCGGGAAAGGTGTTTAAAATAACGTCAAGTGCTCGTCTCAAATTTTCCTCGATTATTTGATCTAAATTTGTTATTTCTTATAACTTCCTGTAATTTCAGTACTGATTAGAAGAAGCTCTTCACAAAACTTCCAAATCTGCTTTCAGATTGAAAATTCGTCATATTTGAAGAAAGTTATAATCATTTGAATATTTGTTCAAATTTCAATAGTAAATAAGCTGCTCCACGGTCAACGCCAAAGTCCAGTCAACACACAGCTGGCGAAGGCGGTTAAAAAGCTTCTTTCAACTGAAGGGCTACGTGCAAATTGAGAACCACAATCTGTGTAGTACTAGAATTTGGTAAGTCTTGTGGAGGAAATAAATAAAGAAGATATTTTGTAATAGTATGCCATTTTTAGTGGCTAGTTTGTCGTTTTCTGGTCTGTTTCTCGTTTGCTAACGGTTTGGAGTTAGGTACCTCAATACAAGTTATACGAAATAATGATTGATCTTTCTTTTTTTCACTTTTGTACTTCTTAAACGAATTTTTTTGTGGGCGGTGGGGTAGCAGGGCTTTTTTATGAGCAGTTTTGGGGGAGAATTAAACAAGCTTTTCAACCTTTTCATAGTTCGGCTTTTGAAGAGGGTTGTTTCATGGACTTCGGCCTCCGGCGGAGGGTGGTGGGGGGGGGGGGGGGGTCGTATTTCCAAATTTTCCTCAACGCCTCGCTTGACCCTGGCTGACTCTCTAAGGTCCAATGGAGCTTATCTCCCACCCACCAGTTCTTATGGGTAATGAAAAGGACGGTAAGGCTAACAGGGCCGTGCAGTTGAAGGAAAAAAAGTTACACGTTAATTTGCTCGAATGCTGCGATTCGCATTCGTGGCGTTTGACTGTGCCTTGTCTTGGTTGCAGGGATGAACTCAGCAACAGCATCCTATGGGTTACTCATAGGGTTAAAAGCGCTTCGTCTGTCGTTCTGTCTTTCGTTCTGTATGTCTGTCACGAAATTCCCTAGCTCCTCGGGATCCGCCTGGAGGGACCGGGTCAAGTGTGGGACGGGTGGGCAAGGTCTCACGAAGTACAAAACACACATCAGCCAAGCGGAGGCACCCCCCACAAGCAGTGGGGCGTGGCGTGCGCAGACATAGACGGAGTAACCCTGAACCGATCAAGATTTGGCAATTCTCTTAGAAAACGAACCTCGAAACTGGGCCAAAAAGTGGGCTAAGGTGTGCATTGGTAAGTAACATCGAATTAGGGAGACCCACCCCCGGTGGGCGGGGCGTTCTCTAAAAAAGCAGTGCTTTATGAAAAATTTCATAACTCGGTTGGGAGAAAGCCTACAGAGCAGAAAACAATTTGGTGTAAGGGAGCAATGTCTAAGGTGTTTCCTGCATACATGACGTGGGCGGAGGCCCGCCCAGAATGGGCGGGGCGCGCTCTGAAGTGTACAGCATTTTCTACAAGTCCTCATAATTCGGGCGGGGAAGTCTTAAGAGCCGGAAAAAGGTGGATAGAGGTGGGTGGAGGAGTGGAGGCATCCTGGTCAATCTGGTGGGCGGAGCTTGACCAAAGTGGGCGGAGGTTGCCAAATATGGTCGGCAATTCGCGTTCGAGAAAAAAGTCGCTAGAGAGTAGAGAGAACTACGTTATAGATTAGCAAAAGGAAGGGGGCCAAATGGGGGGCACGCACCGGAGTAGGCGAGTTTGGGACAAGATCTGTTGTCCGGTAGTCCGGAGACCGGGAAAAAGAGGATAATGGTTGAAACGGAGAAAAACAGGTTAAGAGTAACGCCTGCGATGAATGATAGAATTTTAGCTGATGAAAGGTCAGATATTCGTGGTGATCAGAGGACAATATTGATAAATTCTCGCACCATCAATAAACTCACCGTAAATTTAATGTTGTTGTGACGCGCAATGGGGATGCGGCGCGGCAATGAAGCATACTATAGCAC